CCCTTACCTTGAAAATAGAAGTGGCAGATAAATTTGCATGGGTGTTTCTGTGACATAGAATACATAGGCTTTGGCTCCAACCGTTGAAGTGTGGTCTCTTGTTCTTTTCTATGTTTATAGGCTTCTCTTTTTCTATTGTTTTATGTTTTTTTAATTATTTAATTTGTTTTCTTTTTTGGATTCAGCAATGGGAATTGTTGGGGAAAATACCATTTAACAGCATCGAAGGGTATTAAATGAAAAGCAAGGTTCCCTTCAATCACTCTATCTGAGGCTCTTTCCTAAGCTATATAGTATTAAGTCTCTAGTAATTCCTTGCCCTCCTGCCCCAGAAACACGTTAAGCATAATTATGCATATTTTATTTTCCTTCTCTTTGAAATGGCAGTGTATTAGATGTATTTTTATGGCATGCATTTATTTTCTTCTTAGAGATTATTTACTGTTAAAATTTCCAGCCCTGCTTTATTCTTTCTTCCTGATGCTTAATATCTATCAGCTTTAATATGACTCTACTTTATGAACATTTGATTCTTATTTTTTTAAATCTTAATGATGCAGCATATAATCTTCATGGTTTCTTTGTGAAAGTATATCCACAGAATAAATTCCTAGCAGCAGAAATACTAAGCCAAATTAAAATTTTTGAGAGACATTATCAAATCACTTTCTAAAGAAGTTGTATGTTGTAAGCAAAATAATTGTCCCCAAATATGTCCATATCCTAAACATGGAGACTGAAAGTATGTTATCTTACATAATAAAGGGGATATTGAGGTTTCAGGTGAAAATGAGGTTGTTGACCAATTACCCTTAAAATAGGAGAATTATCTTGGATTCTCTTGAGTGGTCTTGATGTGGTCACAAAGATCTTTTAAAAAAGATTATCTTATTTTAAATTATGCATATGTGTGTGTGTCTGTGTGGATGTATGCACATGAGTGCTGGTGACAGCAGAGACCAGAGTCATCAGATCATCTAGAGCTTGATTTACACACTTCAGTGAGCCATTCAGCCTCAGTGGTGGGAACCAAACTTGGGTCCTCTGCAAGGGCAATAAGTGCTTTTAAGCCTCGATCCAGCCCAGTCACAAAGATTATAAAAAGTGAAGAACAGAATCAAAACTAAGGAACATGAGCAAGACTTGATTTGATATTGCTGGCTTTGAATATGGAGGACGGGAGCTTTGTGCCAAGGAGTACCCGAAACCTTTAGAAGCTGGAAATGAAAGAGAACTAAAAGGTGCTGGGGTAAAGCCCTCTTGCCACCTAAATTTTTGCCTGGTAAGATGTAAGTTAGATTGTTGTTCCAAAAAACTGGAAGAAAATAAAAAAATGTAAGGTCTTGAGAATACAGAAATTTGTTATAGTAGCCATAGACTACTATAACATTTTCATTCCCACCAACACTATGTATTTCCTCACACCCTTTCCTTTTATTCCTCTAAAATAATAGTTTCTCCCCTCACATGAATGCTGTTTCTGTTATTTGAAAAGTATTTATGATGTTGGGTCAAATACTTCCTTAAGTTAAAAGGAACATCTTGGTCATTAGAAGCTGATTGTCACATTCTTACTCCTGGTTAATTCACTCTTTGGAAATTCCTGTTTGGAGAATGCTTTTGTTTTCTCTCCTGTGACCAGGATGTGACCAGGATGGGTGATGCGTCATTTCTGCAATACTGAGGCCATCAAGCTGCACGGCAGAAGCACTCGGAAGTAGAGGCTGTTCACTGGCATCTGTTTATGACCGCAAAACCTACTGTCTTAAGGTTTCTATTGTAATAAAACACTGTGAGCAAAATCAACATGGTGAGGAAAGTGTTTACCTCATCTTCCAACTCTCAGGTCACATTCTGTCACTGAGGCCAGTCAGAGCAGGAACTCAAGGCAGAAGCCATAGGGGAACACTGCTCACTGACTTGCTCAGCTTTTCTTTCTTATACACCTCAGGACCACCGGCCCAGGGATGGCACCATCCCCATGGGATGTTCTCTTTCACATCAATTGTTAATCAAGACAATCCCCACAGACTTGCTCACAGGCTAGTCTTATGAAGGCATTTTCTCAATTAAAAGTCCTTCCCAGATATGTGTAGGCTTGTGTCAAGTTGACAAAAAAACAAAACAAAACAAAACAAAACAAAACAAAACAAAACAAAACAAAGCAAAACAAAACAAAAAACAACCCAGTACAGGTAGCTACATGGGAGATGAAGCCATTCCTTTGAATTGACTTGGTGACAGTCCAATCCTTGAATGGCTTTGCTCGGTCTCCAGCCTCAATAGGCAGCATCACTGATTAAAAGGTTTGCAAGACAGCCTTGACACTTACGTCTATAGCAACTTCCACATTTCTGTGGCATCTGGGAGTCTGAGATGACCATGGTGGGAAAAAAGCAACCTTAATAGGAAGAACTAAATAGAAGCCAGGGTGGCATATGCAAATTTGTGTGTGTTAACCAGAATCTATATTGAGTGTCACCTCAACAAAGGACTGCGGTGATAATTGTGTTCCCCGGTATATTGTGCACCCTAACAAACTTATCTGGGATCAAAGAACAGAACAGCCACTAGATAGACATAGAGGCCAGAAAATGGTGGCACACACCCCTTTAATCCTAGCATTCTGGAGGCAGAGATCCATCCAGATCTCTGTGAGTTCAAAGCCACACTGGAAACAGCCAGGCATAGTGACACACACCTTTAATCCCAGGAAATGATGGCAGGAAGCAGAAAGGTATATAAGACTCGAGGACAAGGAACTAGAGCCTCGTTAAGCTTCTAGCAGCAGTTCAGCTGAGATCCATTTGGATGAGGACACAGAGGCTTCCAGTTTGAGAAAACAAGATCAGCCGAGGAGTTGGAGAGGCGAGGTTAGCTGTGGCTTGTTCTGTTTCTCTGATCTTCAAGCATTCACCCCAATATCTGGCTCCCGAGTTTTTTATTAATAAGACCCTTTAAGGTTCGTGCTACAAAGGACAGTGAGTTAAGCAAAGGATTCTAAAAATACTACTTGGCCAGGTAAAGGAGAGAAAACACAGACAAGAAGAATGGCTAGATAGTCAAGGGAAATCCAAAGAATCCAGGGCTCTGCCATCCCATCAAGGTGAGTCTAGTGTAGGCAGAATTTTTCTGTCCTGATTGCTGGCTCCAAAATAACCACAAAGAGGCTTAGTATTTATAAATGCTTGGTCAGTAGCTCAGGTTTACTTACAGCTTAAATTATCCATTTCTATTAATCTATATATTAGTCATGTGGCTCATGGCTTTAGCTGTTCTCCAGCATGTCTTACTACCTCTGAGTCTGCTGGTGTCTCTCCTCACTCTGCCCTTCTCCCGATCATCCTCAGTTTGATTGTCCAAACTATATTTCCTACCTGGCTATCAGCCAATCAGCTTTTTATTAAACCCATCTGAGTGACAAATCTTCACAGTGTACAAAAGGATTATTCCACAGCAGTCTAGTAATATCAAGTGTTAGAAAGAGAGGAGAATCTCATAATATTAAGAGGTAGACCAGCAAACGAAGAGCTTGTGGATAGGACAGGGTCTCCAAGGACCAATAAGATCTCTGTTTGTGGAGGCAGTGAGGGTGGTAGGGACATGGACTCAGACATGACTGTTATTAGTTATGTAGCCTTGGGGAAAAGGCTGTTTGGCTTCCATTCTGAAGCTGTAAAATACAGGTAACATCTCCCTCAGAGATTTACTGTGCCAATGAAATGATCATATGCAACATGCCCACCTTTTTGTAGATCTTCAGTAAGAATTGTTTCCTCTTCTATTTTACCCCTAGAAACTTAACTACAAATTTGTTTTGACACAGTATTAGTATTATCAACTAGTGCTATTCCTGTGATATCGTGGGTGTTGTGCCAGTTAGCTGGTAGGACATACCTGTGCTCTGGGCATCCAGAGAGCTGGGCACCCATCTGTATACATCTTCGGGTGCAGAGAGAGCACTAGGAGCTGGGTATAGACGAATGCTCCGTTCTTCATCACACTGGGTTTTTTCCTTTCAGAAAAATGAACTATAGCTCCTGAAGTGATTATCTTCAGAGGTATCTCTTTAGGGACATCTTCCTGCACCATTTCTAACTGCATAAATCTCAATGTAAAGTATTAATAATAAATCACAAGATAATTTCTTAAATTCTATTTTATTAAGGCAGGGTCTCATGTGGTCCAGTCTGACCTCAAACTCATTAGATATTCCAGGCTAAATTTGAATTTTTGATTCTCTTAACAGTGCTAGGAGCACAAACATCAATTAAAGACAGATTTATGTAGTTCTGCTGAACGCTAGCCTGGGCAAACATTACCAACTGAACCGCATGGCCTAGCCCCAATTCTTTAAGATTATTATGTATTTACTTGTTTAATTTTTTTGAGACATTAGCCTTCTGGGGAATTTTGGATCTGCTAAAAACGGCCCCATTCTCCTCTTGTCCACTGTTGTTTTTAAAATCACATAAAATAGAAAAAAAAATGTCATTTTTCTTGCCACTTGAGAAGTCTTACTCTGTCTGCTACCTGACCGATTTCCTCTGGGAGATGATGCAATGCAATGCTTGTCTTAAACTACTTGGTAAGGCTGAACTGTGCAGTGAAGAGGAACTGACAGTTTTGTTTCCAGACGTGAGATTCCTAACTTAAGTCTCTTTAGAAATGATCTTTCTATTTCTAGCTAGTACACTGTTTCATTTCTTAACGACAGTGAACATGTTTTCCGAGGCAAAAGAAGGAGACAAGACATTTAATAAGGGAGTCCCCTAGGGGACAGGCAACTATGCTAAATAGAAATTGTTACAGGAATCCCAGTGTCTGCGGTCCCATAGCCACTAGAAGTGATTACATAACAGAGCTATGATCTCATCCTACTTTTGGGATGGAAACTGTTACATATTTGAACACAGTAACCGAGGCCGTAGACAATCCAGGGAAAGAACGCAAAAGCTCTGCAGGCAGCTTCTCAGGCCTGTAGGCAGTAGTCAGTGGGCCCGGCCCACCGCCAGGGAGGCTGATGAGAACTCAGGTTCCCAGCAGAGCATTAGCGCGCCTGCGCGTTGGCCTTTCCAGCGTTCCAGGGGAGAAGGTTGAGCGTTTGAGTGTCCATGGCAACCCGACGCTTCCGCCTTCTGCAAGCTTACAATCCATAGCTTGTTGTGAGATACCCGGCCCGGTGGGAGGGACCTGGGCTGGGGGGACTGATGGGGTAACCAAGGGGTGGGGGGCCAGGGAAGCTTCTGGAAAACACTCGCCTTGATGTAAACTAAAATAATTGGTTCAAGGCTCAGCACAAAAGGATCTTGTCTTTCCGGCGCTTTCGCCCACACGGGGAAGGATGCCTCTGGAGGTGGTGGTGGAGCTCCAAATCCGGGCGGTAAGAGATCTGCGAGCCTGCCCTGTTAACCCCGTGTTCCCCTCTACTTACTCCACACACATCGCTTTTGGGACACACTGTACTTCTGTCCCTAAGATTCTGCACATTTATCACCCTTGGCTCTCTTAGCCTTTAATCCAGTTCCGTCTGTCTCCCCCTCCGCCCCCCCCCCCAAATATGTTTCTTGGCTTCTTTAAAACGATCCTGACTTAGGTTCAAGGAGTTTCAAGATTTGATTTTGTTTAAGTAATCAAAGAATATATGAGTTTTAAAGCTCCACTCTTGATAAATGTGCCACCTCTAGGAGGCAAAGCGCATTCCCATAGCTTTGGGTAGCTAATTTCAGCAGGACACTCAGTTTAACAAGAAACACTTTGTAATTACCCACCAACTCCTTCTTAAGTGAGGTGCTGGAGCACAGTGACCACCGTTCCAGTCTCCCCCCATTCTCCCATCCTCCCATTTATAGCAACAAGACTGGCACGGAGCTTGGCTCCCAGTTATAAAGGGCTTCACTACTGGCCATAGTCACAAGCCGATGCTAACAGGACGCTGCATGGAAATTCAGCTAGATGCCATACAACAGCAAACTCCTAGGTCTCATGGAGCATGTTGAAGTTAAAGGGTCCTGGCTTGGGTTCCATTTTACTGAGTTATCAGTTGTACTGTATCAATTTCAAATGCCCAGGAAGAGGAAGGAATCCCTACAAGGCCATGAGATCTCTCTTAAAGCAAGAACAGAAACTAAGACATCATCTTATGTCATTCAACATTACCAGTTAATTTATTTTGATTTTTAAAAGGCATCCTTCAGTGTACAAGTAATTAACAACAAAAAAAAAATCAGTTTTTTACTCTAGAGAACTTAGAATGACCCATGAAGTCAGGTAATTTGACTTGATCTGTGCTTTAAAAAGCCGGCAAACTCAGGCCCTGGCAAACAAAACATGGAATTCCAGAAGTGTAACTAGAAGAGAGGCCCTCAGTAATCACACATGGGACACAGTAAGAGCAAATACTTTCCTTTCAAATGTCTGCCTTGAACATTACAATTAAAAAGGATCTCTGAAGCCAGGTGGTGGCGGCGGTGGCGCGCAACCCTTTAATCCCAGCACTCAGGAGGCAGAGGCAGGTAGATCTCTGAGTTCGAGGCCAGCCTGGTCTACAAAGTGAGTTGCAGGACAGCCAGGGCTACACAGAGAAACTATGTCCCAAAAAAACCAAAACAAACAAAAATCCGAAAGTTTAGACAACACACTCAGACCACTTAGAACCTCCCAGCTTGGCAGAGTTGGTAAGCAAAGAGGTAGTCCGTGTTCAGGGTGTTGTGGAAAGCAATGACTGTTTATTCAGAGGAAGAGCTGTTCCTATTGGTGTGCTTTACTCCCACTCTCCAAGGTCCTGCTTCCTCCCAGTGAGAACCTGTTTAGCACAGCCATTCTGGACAGTCGGGTCCACATCCTTGCATGTTAGATTACAGCCAACAATCCGTTCTGTTTGTAAATGCCAGAACAATTGGTCATTCAGATTATCTGATGACACCACCGCCACCACCACCACCACCACCACGGGTGATTTAAAGGCTTTCTGTCCAGGCAGAGCAGCGTTTACAGATTTATATAGCACAAACTCTCTTTGGTCTTTCCAGGTCAGACAACAGTCAGAGTCTACCACATTGTTTGGTCATCTTTGGTCTCATGATTGGGGGAGGTGCGTGAATGAACAGCTTTCCATGTAAACAGAAATTTAGGAGTTATACCTAGTGCTCACGTAGGGCAACAGGCTCTCCCGAAGAATTTCAAGTTAAGTACTGTTTCCTAAAATGTGCTGGATACAGCAAAGTAGAACTGATATGAGAAGGGACAGCACACAGTCTTCTTTGTGCTTTTCCATTTTTTACTTACTGGAGGACCATTGACTCGATGGAGTAGAGATGATGGGCAGCAGGGCCTCACCTCTTGCCACTGGTCATTGACATCTGTGGTCTGCCTATCTCCAGACTCTAAGTCCCCCCGGCTCTCCCCAGCAGCCCATCTGCTTGGCCCCCTGGTACACACTGCTACTGGCCATCAACAGAATGAACAGTGGTCTCGTACTTACTTTTCTGTGGGAACCTTAGGCAAGCCCACTTTTTGAGTATGTCTTCTTTAACATCTTGGTTTGTTCTATGAATGCTAAAAGACACTATTAGAGAGTAGTGGAAAGTAGACATCTAAAGACCTTTTGAGAGGAACAGGAAGAAAGGCAAGTACTGTATGTAACCTCTTCTTACTACCTAATACACAAAGGTGGGAGAGCTTGTTAAGCACTCAGGATAAAGAAAAAGCTCCAATCGTGGCAACAGATGTTCAGAGATTAAACTGGAAAAGTCCGCGTTAAACTTTAAAAATATTGTTTAAAATATACCACAGGGAAAGGGCTGGGAATAGTGCATGGCTTACCTGGAAGCTCATGTCTCTTAAAATTCAATTTACAAGTGATAAATTGTTTTTTTTTTTTTTTTTTTTTGGGATTACTAATTAACATTAGTCTGTCAACTTTAAATAAATAGCAATCGTATAATCAGCCAGCTTGATTTCTTTACATTTGTCTTGGAGATAAACAGCTGTTGCCTATATACACAATAGACTTTCTTTCTCTAGTATGGCCGTGTTCAGTAATAGCCAGCACATACTCCGACCTAGGAACATGTCAAGACAGTGGGATCCCAGAATTCCCAAAGGTGCCTGAAATGTCTGAGGGGCAACTGGATGGTTCTGGTTTAGGTCAGACTTCTTGTGACCTTCAGACCTCCTGGTGCCCCAACAATCAATGAGATGGTGTCACTGTTGATTCCACAGTACAAAGAGGACCGGAACATTGTGGGGTGACAGCCAGCAATAATCCACAATGCTGTACAGCATGTAGCCCATAAAAAAGCCAAAAGCCACATCCGTGACGTTGTGCCGCCCAAGCATGATCCTGGAGAGACCTAAGACGAAGGCCCACAGTACCACCAGCACCCTCAGTGGGATGGCCAGGACCAGGTGGTTCAGGATGAACCGCGACACCAGGGCGGCCCTCGTGGCGTGGCCCGAGGGGAAGGAGTACTTGTCCACCGAGAGGGTGAAAAACATGTCCATCTGATTGTGCGCTGGTCGGCGCCTGCGGACCAGCCCTTTGATCACAGCCACCAGCAGCAGGTCCAACAGCAGAGAGAAGAGCAGGTTCATCAGCACTTCGCGCCCGGCCCAGCTGTCGCTCCTAAGCAGGCAGTAGACGGTGCCCAGCAGCCAGGGGATGCCGTGCCCGGAGATCTCCAGCAGCTTCATCAGGGGCCGCACGCTGCCCCAGGCCGAGCTCTCCCCGGCACACACCCCCAGCTTCTTGGACAGCCACAGGTCGATGGCCAGCAGGGAGCGCAGGGCGATGCCCAGGAAGGACGGGTTCAAGTTCATGCGGTCGTCCTCGGGTGGCAGGGCCGGAGCTGCTTGCGCGGGGCCGGCGGAGGCCAGCGGGAAGGAGCCGCGCCGATGCACCGGGCTGTCGGAAGCGCGCAGCCGGGCGCAAGTAGGGTCCGCGCCCGCGCGGCCGCTCAGCAGCGACTGGAACTCGAACCTGCCGCCGCCGTGGGCCGGGCTGCCCGGGACGCTGCTCCCGCCCGAGGTGCCCAGCGGCCGTCCCTCGATGGTCCTCCTGGGGCTCGGCATCGCGGCGGGCAGCAGGTCCCAGGGCCCCGGCCAGACCGGAGAGAGGCTTCCCGGCCCGGCAGCCTCTTCCGCTTCCGCACTGCCATCCTGGAGGGCGGGCCGAGGAGCTGCAGAGCGCGATTGTGACACCTGGCGGAGACGTGGGAGGGGACCGGGATATCCAGTTTGAGGAGAGGAGGGAGGATGCTATTGCTGGGAGGTAAAGGTGAAGGATGCAGTGATGGGGTCATTTCACAGGCTATGGGAGGTTAGGAGAAACACAGCCCTGTTGTAGAAAAACAAACCCTGATTGCCCTCCTCTTCTTTTTAAGATTTCTTGCCCGGGAGTGTTCCTGCCGGACAAGGAAGGTGTATACCTTGGAGTCTACCTCCTGAATCAGTACCTGGAGACAAACTGCTTTCCCTCTGTGTTCCCTATTGTGATTCAACAGAGCATGAGATTTGAAAAGGTGATCTTGACTTCTCAGTGGGTTTTGCTGTCTGAAGTCAGCGTAATAGTTATAAAGAATAGTGGTTTTGTACATTTTTTTCTTTTAAAAAAGTGACCCTCAGGCAATTCAGTATAGTTTAAAAGTACAGGCGGCCTTGAGGCAAAAGCATAGTTTGGAAGACTTACTTTTGCTCTGCAGGTCCGAGCCAAGTTCTGTCAATCGAGTGCTAAATACCCTGGTGGATGCTTTCTATTCTTGGAACTCCCATGGCATTTCCTAACTGGAGCAGAGAGCGTTTCTGAATGTTCTTGGAGGTGTTAGAGACAGTTGCATTACATTTATGAAAGGGGCTATTAATAAACTGCAGACCTTAAGAAAAAAAAACTTTCTTAAGCCTAGAAAAATAATTTTAAACTATAACTAAGTCGGTTAAATCTTATAATTGAAATCTTGTAACTAAACACAAGAAAGCCGTTCATATTTTCTGAGTTTCCTTAAGTGTGTTATGTAACAGCAGTAAGGGCTAGATTCCATTCCAGTGAATGCAATCATGTTTTTTTTTTTTTTTTAAAAAAATACAGCCAAAACATTAGCCAGGGCTTCCCACTACGGTATGCTGTAGCACATTCATTCCATTTTATTACTCTGTAATCACCAACTATTTTAGTTTGGGATTTAGAGATGAAATTGGAGTTATCTTTAGTAAGCCTAATGATTTTGCCCAAACAGTGTCACTGAGGCAGACTTTTGGGGGCAGAGGGACATCACTTTCTAGGGTCTGGAGAATGGTGCCCAGAAAGCTACCTATCTCTTTTAACCCTAGGTAGAGAGAAAAGATGAAGATAGTTTGTAACAATAAAAAATTTTTTTCAGCCTATTTATTTAAATATATGTCAGATTGGTTGGGTAAAAGAGCAAATAGTTATTCTCTTGGAAAATCCAGTCAGAATCCGATGGATCCATCTGGCCATAGGCAGGTGATGGGCATGATGAAAAGCAGGTGTTGGAAATTGTTTTTCCTCCCAACATTTTCTTCATTTATCAGTTTCAACAGCACTGTAGAAGAGTTCTAAGATACGTTTGTAAGAAGCCCATAGATACAAAATTGTGCAAGCACAGAATGACACATCCATCAACCACCTTGGGAACTTACCTAGTCCAACCTCCTTTGTTTTTTAAAAGGAGAATGTCTGAGGCTCAAACTTTAGATGCTTCTCTACTGCTGTGTAGAAACACTGTTGGCTTGAGATGACTAGTTAAACATACCATGCATGGGACTGTTTTTTTGTTTTTTTTTCTAAAACTGAGTTGTTTAGGCTCATTTTCTAGTTTCTTCTAGTTCCAGGTTTCTTGCAATCTGTTCCATTCTTTAGCTGAAAATACTCGCAGCAAGTAGCGAAAGCATTTTCTTTCTTCACAGCCTCTTTGCATAGCTCGGATTTGAATACTTAAAAGCATCGGGGTAAACAACTTCTTCATAAAAATTCATGAGCCATTGTATTTGAATAGGCCAAGCTGACTGCTCCCTGAGATCACACATGAGAAAACCCTTTTATGAGATTTATTAGGCTCCTAGAGGCGGCACACAGAAGTAACCCATGGGCAGCAAACTTAATGTCACAGTACTGGGGGCTAGAAGTCAGAGCAGAATGTTGGCGGGACCATGGTACTTCCCAAGGCATGCATGAGGGAAGGATATTTCTCTGACTTAAGATTCCAGTATGCACCATATAACCATTTATTCTCCATAGTGCATGGAGTTAAAAACATTCTGGGCATTAGACCAGAGAAGCTCTAGTTCTTTAGGTCAAAAGAAGATATGTGTGAATAGTAAAATCAAAGCAGAAAATTCACAGATGAGAAGTGTCAGGTGATCTGTGTGTGGTCTGTCCACTCTAACCAGTCAACTGTGTTTGCTTTTTCTGCTTTGCATGTGAGAGTAGAAAACTTGGGGCCCAGTTGGTAATAGTGGCTCCTTCTGCTCACTGTCTGGTTCATGAATGTTCTCTGCTCAAGTATACTCATTAGTTTATTTTAGTTTATTTTTAACTAAAAAAAAAAAAAAAGCATCAACCATGTGTTAAGTGCCCAACCTACTCCAGTATGACCTCATTCAAATTTTAACTAAGCATATCTATATTGACCCTATTTGGAAATAAGATCAGATTCTGAGATACTGGGGTTAGATGTCAACCTTCGAATTTTGACAGGGACACAATTCAACTGATACCAGTGTGAAATGGAAGGATGCAACTACTGAAATAGTTTAGGCCAAAAAAAGAATGTTAGCCACATTTATTTAATAAATGCAAGCAGCAAAACAGTGTCCATGTTTTGCCCTCAAAAGAGATCTGGCTTTGAAACCTTAAGCAGAATTTTGACCATGTTTGCCTTTAAACCTCATTTGAGTCATCAGTTTAAAGGCTGAAGGCATTACTGAAAAAACTACTGAAAATCTTTTGTTTTCTTTCATAAGGTCCTTGGTGGCCTGTTCTGTTTCAGGGCTGCCTCAGCACCTTTTATTTCAAGAACAAAATATGCAGATCGGACAGTGTTTAAGGTGATACAGTAATGTTTTCCTGTGCTCCATGGTAGAGTCTCCCAGATCCACCCCTGCCACTACTTGTCTTTGATGTTACCTATGGTTAAAAGTACTATTTTGCCTGGCAGTGGTGGCGCACACCTTTAATCCCAGCACTCAGGAGGTAGAGCCAGGCAGATCTCTGTGAGTTCGAGACCAGCCTGGTCTACAGAGTGAGATCCAGGACAGGCACCAAAACTATACTGAGAAACTCTGTCTCAAAAAAACAAAACAAAAAAAAGTTCTATATGTTGATGAGTACCTGCTGCATGCAGAATGCTTTTCTATGCACTCAAGACTCAGGTTAATGCAAGATGTGTTGGCTTGTACAGTAGGTCAAACTGATGGCATTTTAAGCATGTGATGGATTTAGCTAACTCAGATTTCTTTGCACTTATCATTCTGATAGTTTTAATTCTTCTGTGCTTCAACCATTTGTGGTACTTTTACCATACACTTATTAGTCATGTTCCTGTTGGATCCTAAAATATTATATGGCTTGTTTTTCTATGTGCTAATTACTTGAAAGAACATAAACTAATGGTTTCTAGAAATACATTTTACTAAAACCTTGAAAATTTCTTTTCCTTGTTTTTCTCTGTAGACATTTGAAAATGCAATAGATCCTGGAGCTGTTGCAGAAATTTTAGAAAGTAGGTACTTAAGAGAATAAAAGACTCATATGTAATCCACAGGTACAGAATTCTGCTGCTTCTCAAGTGTGATATTTCTGTATTTCATCAATATTTAAACTTAGGGAAATTCTGTGGTGAAATTTGGTTCATGATTTATTTGGTTGGTTGGTTTTTAGAGAAATAGTCTTGCTATATAGTCTAGGCTGGCCTTGAACTCCCTCCTGCCTCCACTATCCAGGGTACTGGGATTATAGGCATATGTCATCACACCAACCTTTAAATGTTTTCATTTATTATTATTACTTTGTGTGTGTGTACGTGTGTGTGTGTGTGTGTGTGTGTGTGTGTGTGTGTGTATGCGCGCGTGCGCGCGTACACTAATGTGCATGTGAGTATGGGTGTGAGTGTGCCATGTGTGCCTGAGACATAGGACAACATTGGTGAGTTGGTTCTCTCCTTCCCTCATGAGTTCTTGGGATTCTGTGCCTTTACCCACTGAATGATCTCACGACCCATCACACCTGCCTTGAATCATTGTTTTCATTGTTATAAACATTTTTCTCAATACAGATGTGAAACCAGATGTGGTGGCACATGACTCTATCCTCAGTACTTGGAAGGTGGAGGCAAGAGAATCAGGAGTTCAAGGTTAACTGTGATAATAGATCTACCTTGAGGCTAGTCTGGGCTACATGAGACATTGTCTCTAAAACCACCACCACCACCAACAGAAAGCCCTCAAAATTTTGTACTATAGATATGTTTTTTCTGGATGATATGATTTTGATTGGTTATTATAAACATTAAGTGGATTCTGTCACAGCAATCAGTTAGATCATTTGATCAATTAGAACATTTTCAATGCTTGACAAAGAAACTCTACACCTGTTAGCAGTTGACTTTCAAACGCAAATGCCAATTTCTCCATCTCAGAGCCCAGACTGCCCTCGAACTCCTTTCTCTGTCTCCTGTGTGCTGGGGTTACAGGAATGTGCCACCATGCCCAGTGAGCAGAGATCTGCTTATTTTGGATATGTCGTATGAAGGAGTGTGCACAGTATGTGGTCCTCTATGATCGGCTTCTTTAGCTTAGCATAATGTTTTTAAAGGTCATTTATATTATAGAATTTGCCAATACCTCATTCTTTAACAGTCTGTTATATGAATTTACTACATTTTGTTTTCTAGTCATCAATTAATGGACAATTGGGTTGCTTATGCTTTTAGAATATAGTGAATAATAATGTTATGAATATTTGTATGTAAATTTTTATATGGAAATGTGCTCTCAACTCTCTTGGACATACACACGCACACACACACACACACACACACACACAAACACACTCATGTAAGTGGCACTGCTGGATCACATAGTAACTTACAGTGTATTTAGTAACTTTTTAAGCCTCCTGTACTACTTACCAAAGCAGCTGTGTTTCAAGGGTTCATTCTTTTTCTCCCGTTTTGGCCAATACTTGTTTCTTGCTGTCATTTTGATTGGTCGAAGCCTGTGGGTATGAAGTGCTTTCTTACCATTGTTTTGTATCTCCCTAGTAGCTAGTGGTGTTGAGTGTACTTTGGAGAAATGCCTATTCATATTTTCTTCCTACTTTTTGACAGGGTTGTCTTTCTCTAAAACTGAATTAAAAGTATTCTTTGTAAAGAATCCCAAGACTTTCAAATGAGATAAAATATCTAATATTTGACTTTCACTTAATATGGCGATCTACAGTTACATCTATTTTCTACTGCTAGTAACTTTCACTTATTCTTCTTTGTGTGGTGGTTTGAATGAGAATGGCACCATAGGCTTCTGTATTTGAATACTTGTTCCCCAGTTGGTAGAACTGCTTGGAAAGGATTAAGAGATGTGTCACTGGGGGTGGGCTTTGAGGGCCAGTGTCTCTTCCTCTACCTCCCGCCTATGGCTCAAGATGCAAGCTCTTAGCTACTGCTCAGCACCATGCCTGCCTGCCTGCTGATGTGCTCCCTGCCATGATGGTTACAAACTCTAACCCTCTGCAACTGTGAGCCACAAATTAAACGTTTTCTGTTATAAGTTGCCTTGGTCATAGTGTCTTATCACAGCAACAGAAACGTAACCAAGACAGTATGACTAAATCTCCACTGTGTATATGCACTATGTTTTCTTTATCCATCTGCTGATGACCTGCTGGGCTGACTTTATAGCTTGGCTGTTGTGAATAGTGCCACAGTAGACATGAGTATCTGTCGTGGCGGTAAGTTGCCTTGAGTTCTCTGGGTATATACCAAGATGCACTATAGCTGGGTCATACGATACTTGCATTTGTAAGTTTTTTGAGGACGCTCTATCCCAACTCAACCAATTCACATTCCCACCAGCAGTGTAGAATGGTCTCTTTGCCTTCCCAGATTCTTACCAACATTTGCTATTTTCTTGATAATTAATTTGACTGAAGTGAAATGGAGTCTTCCTGTAGTTTTAATTTGTGTTCTCTTTATGCCTAAGGATGTTGAACATTCCCCCTCCCCCTTTTTTAAGGCCGGGCTGGCCTTAAACTCATTATGTAGTTGAGGATAACCTTGATTCTCGATTCCCCTGTCTCCACCTCCTCAGTGCTGGGTTATGGGTATGTGCCATCACACCTGCCCTTTCTCGTCTGTTTATTCTTCATTTCTGCTTCATCTTTTGACTATTGTGTATTTCATTAGCCCATTGTTGATCGGATGTTTGATTTTTTTTTTTGACTATTGAGTATTCCTTTCATTAGCCCATTGTTGATCGAGTTGTTCAATTTTTCTTTTGACTATTGTGTATTCCTTTCATTAGCCTATTGTTGATTGGGTTGTTTGACTTTTGGGTGTTAAGGTTTTGGAGTTGTTTATACATTCTAGATAGCAATCCTTTACCAGATATAGAGCTAGTGAACCTCCCCAGTTCTGAGGTCTTTTCACTTACTTCCTTTGCTATGGAGAAGACTTAATGTCAGGCAGTCCCAACATCTGTCAGTCCTTGGTATGACTTCTTGAACTGTTGAGTCATTTTCACAGAGCTGTTGCTTTTATCTTATCTTTAAAGATATCTTTACCTGTGTCTTAAAGAGTTTTCCCCTCACACGCTGAGTCTCCTTGTAAGATCTTCAGTCTTTTTCTAACTGATTTGTGTACAGGATGAGATGTAAGAATATAGCTCCATTCGCTATCTGTGGCTCCAGCACCCTTGGTTGAAGAGGTTGTCTTCTCCAGTATATGTTTTGACATCTTTCCAAAAAGGGTGGTTGTAACTGTGAGCGCTTGTTTGTAGACACTCCATTCTATTATATTGTTTGACATGCCTTTTCTGTCCTGTTGTTTTGTTACTGTAGCTCTGTGGTATGACTTGAAACAGGCATTGCCATGTTCTTTTTGCTCAGGATTGCTTTAGCTATCTTTTTTTTTTTTAAACTTTTTATTTATTCCTTGTGGTTTTCACATCCTACATCTCAATCCCGTTCATCTCCCTGTCCCTTCATATCTGCCCTCTGCCCTTGCAGCCTCCCCCCATAAATAACATAAAATTTAAGAGAAAAGAAAAAAAGAGAAGGAAAAGATAAAAAAGGAGAATCTAGTTGTTGAAGCTGTGGTATGACACAGTGAGTCACACAGTAAACACTTTGTCCACACATCTTTACTTGCAAGTGTTCCTTGCAAAGAGTCATTGGTCTGGTTGGAGGCCTCTGGTTTCTGCTACACTATCGATACTGGGCCCTCACTGGGGTTCCTCTTGTATTTCCTCCTGTGTCGTGGAGATCCTGCAGCTTTGGGTCTGCAGGACCGGCCCCTTCATGTGCTCCAGCAGATCATAGATGGAGTGGATATGGGGATGGGCCAACTCAGCCCTGCTTCTGGGTCTGGGTAGTTGCAGGGCCAGCCCACCAGCTCTCCCCCATCTTCACCACCAGGGTGAGCTCACAAGCTTTGCCCCAGCTAGCTGTGCAGCAGGGAGCAAGGGGTGGGGCGGGTTCTTCTGCATGCATGCCCTCGAGGTCCGCTCACCCACACCTACACTGCCAGGGCCTGTGTTGCCCAAGTCAAGCGGGGGGTGGGGTTGGGGTGGGGTGGGGAGCAGGGCCAGCTCTCCCACCTGCCACAGGTGACAAGGAGGGGAATGGTATCTTGCCTATACCACTGTATGGCAGATGAGGGGCAGGACCAGATTCCCCACTTTCATGCCCTTACGGCAAGGTCACCCATGCCCCTGCAAACAGAGTCAGCTCTATTGTGCTGCCCCAAAGAGGTGCAGGATCCACTCTCCTGAGTGCTGCAGCTGGTGAGAGGCAGGGCCAGTTCTCCCTAGTGTTGCAGCCAGTGGGGGCGGGGGCTAACTCTGCGTAGCCCCATCCTTTCTGGCCTGTGGTGGTAACAGGAGCTACAGACCATGGCTGCAGCAGGGCCACAGGCCCAGACATGGCCCTTGGCAACAGCCCAGGCTTGGACATCACTATGACCCCAGGTGGCAAGCAAGCTGCCCACCTCAGTCAGCTCCTCACTGCCTTCACCTCTTCAGATCTGCCTCTCTCCAGAGGACATGAACCATTCTGTCTCTCTCCCATACCTCACCATATGTCTGCTCACCATAATAGTGCCCCACCCCCCAGCGCCTCACTTCCCTGAGCCGGTCACCCTTTCTCCTGCTCAGTTCTAATGTGCTTCAGCTATCTTGGGTGTATGGCTTCCATTTTAATATTTCTGTGAAGAATGTCACTGAAATTTTGATGGCAATTGAGCTGATCTGTAGATCACATTTTGTTATAGTAATTTTCATAATATCCTGTCAATCCATGTAAGCATGGATTTTTTTTTTTTCATCTTCTAGTTTCTTCTATAGTTTTTTCCCGGTATTTGAAAACTGTTATTATTATTATATGTGTGATACATGTGAAAGCATTGCATACCACTGTGTGTGTGTGTGTGTGTGTGTGTGTGTGTGTGTGTGTGTGTACGTGCATGTGATATGTGAGTGTGGGTAAAAGTCAAAGGGTGACTTTAGGAGTTGGTATCTGCTGCGTCTGAGGGTTCTGGGGATTGAACTCAAATCACCAGGCTTGAGTGACACCTGCTTTAACCTGCCGAGTCATTGCTCCTAGCCCAAGATTTACATCTTAGCCTTGTCTTTATAGATGTTACAGATAGCCTCTTCAAAAATATTTTCATCTCAAGGAACATAGTAAGATACCTTTTATGACACATTTGTATAGCATGCTTTACAGGCAAGCTAAACTTTTGCATTAATGGATAACATTGGCTTTTCAATCTTTAAAATGAAAAATATGTTGCTATTTTAGTACTCTATGAATATATATGTATATATATATACACTTTTATGTGTCTGTGTGCCATGTATATTCATAGGTGCCCATAAAGGCTGGAGAGGGGATTGGATCCTCTGGAACTGGAGTTACAGGCAGTTGTCAGCCGCCTGACACAGGTGCTGGGTCTAGAACCTGGGTTCTCTGCCAGAGCAGTGTGCTCTCTTGACATTGAGCCATCTTTCCAGCTCTGAATACACCTTTAAGAGACAAAATAGTATGTCAAGGAAGTAAAAAGCTAATTCTGTAGCTCGCTCATCTTTGCTCCGGTCCCGCATTTTATGAAAATCTGTTTCATCGTTGGCACAGCACTTACTTTAAACTATAGTTGTTCTTTGGTTCTTTGATGCCCTTGGGAAAATGGTTCCACAAGCTCCACACATGCCGAAGTACATAGGTGCTCAAGGATCATAAGTAAAATGAGGTAGAACTGCTTGTGACCTATGCATGAGTGTGTGTGTGTGTGTGTGTGTGTGTGTGTGTGTGTGTGTGTGTATCCCACATAACTTGGATTATCTCTATATTATATACTGTAAACGCTGTATGAAGGTGTTATTCTACATTGTTTAGAGAATAAAGAGAAAAGAGCACACATGTTAGTGTACAGATGTGAGTACTTTGTAAACATTTTCTGTCTGTAGTTGGTTAAAAGACAGTTATAGAATCTGCAAATAGGGAATCTGTGAATATAGAGGACCAGTTATTCTGTTATCAGTAGTGTAAATGAGATATGGTAGTTTTAATTTAGCATATGTTAAGAAATAGGCAAATTTTCTGACATATTAAAATCTCATGTTTTTTCTTTCTGTTTTCCTTTTTAGGCTTCCTAACCAGGTTTGAATTGATACAGCTAGTGTCTCCAGGTAATATGCCCATAAACCTACCTCTAAACCAGCCATTTCACTTTGAAGGAATGGGGACAGGATTTCAGTTTTCTTTATGACTGAATCATTTTTAATGATATACTCTACACCATCATCTTTGATAGGTATAAAGAATTTCATCAATTTACGTGTGTGTGTGTGTGTGTGTGTGTGTGTGTGTGTGTGTGTGT